GTTTGGAATATACAGAGGGGGCTCCTGCGTAGGTTTGGGTTCGGTTGGGTGGCATTGGAGGCCCCTCCCAACTAAGAGAGTCTGGGATATGCGATTCAAATAGGAAAGCAAAACCAAGGCCATCCTGGGTTCTGGCGTGGAAGAAGTCAGAGGCTGTACCCCAATACGCAGAGCAACACAACGGAGCCCAGAGGAACAGAAGGGCCCCAGTCATCAGACAAATGCTTATTTCTAACCCTAGGAGTGACTCAAATGCAGGCTGCATTTAGTTTGCATGTACTGGGTCAGCAAATTCCCAGTTTGCTCTGGGATGGTCCCAAAGGAAGTCATTCTTTATTTGTATCCTGGGACCAGGCTGAATTTCCCCAAGGGCCGTGAATAATTTACCTGGACCACTCCCTTCAGACCCTGCCCCTCTTCTGCAGGCCTTCCCCAATCCCCCTCCTCCTAGTCCCTTCCCTTTGTGATTACCTTCCCTTTATACAGGGGAGGCCAGAAGTCTTTGCACAATTAAAGCTTAAAGCAGCACTAAGACTTTTGGTACATCCTATCTGCATCTTGTTGGCACACAACAATTGTTGCTGGCACGTACAATTTAAGTGTGGTTTTCCCCATCAGACCGCGACCTCCTTGATGACAGGGACACTTTTTTTTTTTGTAATCCACAATGCTTGGCACACAGCAGGTGCTTGAGAAATGCTTGTTGTAGAAGCATCATGTAACTACAGAATGTTAGTGCTTGGAGGGGATCTGAGTGACATGTACTGCAAAGACAGCTGGACTTGGGAGTTACAAGTTCTGGGTTCAGATCTCAGGACATCTCCTAGCTACACGATTATGGGCCAGCTTCTTAAAAACTCTGAGCCTCAAGCTATTGTTTAGTCTGACTCTTTGTGACCCCATTTGGGGTTTTCTTGGCAAAGACACCGGAGCAGTTTGCTATTTCCTTCTGCAGTTCATTTTACAGATGAGGAAACTGAGGCAGAGCTAAGTAACTCGCTCAGGGTCACACAGCTAGTAAGTGTCTGAAGCCAGATTGGAACTCAGGTCTTCCTGATTGCAGGCCTGGTGCTCTAGCCGCTATGCTGCCTCATTTACCTTACTTCTAAAATGGGGATAATAATACCTATACTATCTGCCTCACAGACTTATCTTGAGAAACACAACAACCTTAGGAGGCTGTTTCACAGCCTTAGAAGATTATAGAAATGTGACTTATTTTCATTTGTTATTAGGTCATCGAACCCTGTCATTGCATAGGAAAGATAAATGAAGCCTAGAGAAGGGAACTTAGGCGCCCGAGGACACACTGCCAGTCAGAAGCGAATCAGAAACCCAACCCAGGTCTTCTGACTTCAATCATGGTCACTGTGACTTTATGGACCAGGGAAGCCTTTGGACAACTAGAAGACTGAGTAAATAGCTGGAGATTTTCCTGCATTAGTCTTGAGAAGATCCATGACTCTGTCTCAACGCGTTGGGAAGGAGTAGGAGAAAGGCTTTAGCTGGACGACTGATTCTGAGGCACCAACAAGCACAGAGACTCCAGCCGCACTATGTATGTGACTGCCAGGCACAAAACACTGAAGAGAAGTACTGGGGTCTCTTTCTTTATGCCCAAATGTCAACTGAGGGCCTAGTTCTATTTCTTTCCTTCTAAGTAGTTCCCCTCATCCTCCTCATAGTTTAAGAGAGATGGGCACTGGATTGGGAATCAGGAGACAGGAGTCTGAGAACTGAATATTATTCGACATGCTCAATCCTGGGCAATCTAACTCTCTCTGAGTCTCAGTTTCCTGGTTAGTAAAATGCAGATGAAAATATTTATACTACTTGAATTGTATTGAAGAAAGGGCTGGGTAATTCTTGGGACAGGCATAGGGGCTGGATCTGTGATTCAATGACATAAAGAATTCTTAAGTAAGAGACCTCCCTCCACCAATGCATTCTGAAGCTTTGCCTACCACTCAGAGAGCTGCCTAGAGCTACGAGAGATGAAGTGACTTGCCCAGGGCCACACAGCCTGTACATGTCGCAGGCAGGACTTGAATGCGTGCTTTCCTGATTTTTGAGTATGGCAGAAATCACTATGATCTCTCCTACGCCCCTACCTCACTCTTCCTCGTATTATATCCATGTGTCTATGATGTTTCCCTCTTAGTAGATCTTAAAGCCCATGACAGCAAGGACTGTGTATTTTTTCATATTTGTATCCCTGGTCTCAATTTTTCAATTTTCTCCCCTTCTCTTCTCAGTTCTGCCTTCTAGGGTCAAACAGAAGAAGCTTAATGTCTCTTGTCTGTTCTCTTGTGATATCTGCAGACAAAAATGCTGTCCTCCAACAGTCTTTCTTTCTTTCTCTCTCTCTCTCTCTTTTTTTTAAAGGCAATTGGGGTTAAGTGACTTGCCCATGGTCACATAGCTATTAAGTGTCAAGTGTTTGGTCTGAGACCAGATTTGAACTCAGGTCCTCCTGACTTCAGGGCCAGTGCTCTATCTACCTAAATGCCCCCACCGTCTTCCTTTCTCCTGGCTAAACATCCACAGTTCCTTCAATTCATCCTTGTATGACATGATTTCCAACCCCCTCACCACATCACGGCCACCCATCCTTTTAATGTGCCTCACTGTATCAGTGTCTTTCCTAAAAATGTGATGCCCAGAACTGAATATAGTACTATAGATGCAGTCTGATCAGAATAGAGTAGGACTATCTTCTCTCTCTGAATTCAAGATCATATTCTTTTTTTTTTTGAGGGTGAAGTGGTAGGAGATATCCATATTATCAGAGGACCCTAGACTCAGTCCACTAGAATCCCCACATCTTCTCATGTCCACCCACTGATTGGGGTTGTCCCCATATATTCTTATACCTCAAAGAGTATGCACATTCATATTTAGAGCAGAAGGGATCATAGATATTGGGCACATAAACAAAGTGACTTGTCCCAAGTCATGCAGAAGGAAAGCCAGGACTAGGTGCCAGGACTCCTGACTCTCTGGCCAGGGCTCTTTCTGCCTATATATAGTGGCTCCCCTACTTGATAAGTCCAGAGACACTTCAGAGATCTCTGAATGCACCTCTTAGGCCTTCTACCATTTTAATGATCTTTAATATTCATTGTGCTAGAAAAATTCATCATCTTTGGCCCACCTGGTGATGAGCCTCTTTCCATCAGTCTGGTCCTCAGATGAGTCCTCATTAGACTCACGCACCAAACCTTTCCTACCAGCTGGACCTTGAACGCCACAGGTCCAGCCTTTGAGAATGCAGGATCATCTTCATGAGTCCTGGGTGGAGCTCTCAAGTGGAGGCTGTCTCCTATAGTAGGTGCTTAATAAACGTTTGCTTCCCAGGTACATAAAGGAATCGATGAAAGGTGTTTCTGGGACTCCAGAGGCTCACCTTCATTGTGGCAGCTAGATTTTGCTCCCCTGGTCATGATGTTGGTGACTTTGGAAGCTATGTGAATTCTTCTGGGATACCCTGTAAGGTTGGTGAAGGAGCTTGATTCTACCCAATACAAGTGGTTTCCATTTATCCCTTTCACATAGAAGTGAGAGCAAATAACTTCCCAGTGACTGATGGAAAGTTATTAGGAAGGAAGGACAGCCCCTCTCTACTTCCAAGTGAATGCAATCTGCCACTTGGAAGGACAATGGGAATTCTTTTCGTGTCCTCAGGATATAGTCCGTCAGAATACCAAGTTAGTAGCGAGGGGTCCCCAGTCCAGTATTAAATTCATATCATGTATGAATCCCCAAATATTAGAGTTGGAAAGGGCCTTAGAAAATAGAACATCAGAATCAGAAGGGACCATAGAATGAAGAAAGTTAGTATACTGAACATAGAATGTCACAGCTGGAACGGACCTTGGGACAGAGGATGTCAGAGCTGAGAGGGACCTCACAATGGAGAATGTTAGACTATAGAATACTGACTATAGAATACTAATACAGAATATTTTACTATGGAATAATAAAGCTGGAAGAGATGTCATCCATGTTCTACATTTTCAAGATTAGGAAACTGAAGCCATAAAGGAGAAGGGATTTGTATAAGGGGTCAGATCTAGTCAGTAATGGGGCTGAGATTAGAATCTGGGCCTCCTGACTCCCAAGCCAATGGTCTTTGCCTAATCCACACTTGAAGAATGACAATGAACCTCATGGACACTTTACGTTTTAAGCCATCCATATTTGTGTGAGGATGGGGAGACTGGGAAATTGAAATGAATAAATACTTGGCAGAAGGCAGATGAGATCTGGCAATGACAGTTGATGGTGGTGGGTTGACATTCCTCCAAGTGTAGCTGATTGGGTCAAAATCTGCAGCTGTAAGACAAACATTCTCTGCCTGTAACAAAGGTCCACCTTGGGAACCACCTCCTTTAGGAGTCTCACTGACTGGCCTATCAAACTATGACCTTTGCTTCTGCCCTTACTGGCAAACAATCAGGCTACAGAACAGCTGTCTCGCAGGCCTTCCAATCCCAGGCACATGGCTTTCCCACAAACGTGCCAATGTCCCAACACCTGCTGGCCTTTGGATTCTGGCCGCGATTGCTGAGGTCTCAATCTTCTGGGGAAGTCATTAAAATAGCTTGACTCTATTATCAAGATCATCTTACTTTAGTGTGGTCTGCTTTTTATTTGGAGGACAATGAAACCCAAGGCATCAATGCAAAAGTATTCAGGATTTTAAAAAAACTCTTCCTTCTCCACACACACCTTTGTCTCCTCAGTTTGTCATGTCCCCAGCCAATTAAATGTTACCCATTTCTCTCTCTGAAACAGACTGAGGGGAGTTGATGCCCATCCCACCTCCTGATTCATGGCTTCCACTCATTCCCAGTGACTGATTGATTACCCTCCATCAGGCTTAATCTACAGGCTTAACACTGGCCACTGAGTCATCTGGAAATGGCACCTGTGGCTCACCATAGGACAACATGCAGCAAGGCAGGGGGAGGAGGGAAATGTTCCCCTGGTTGGCTTACCTATGTCTGAAATCTTTATTTCTGACAGAAGACAGGAATGCAGGAAATAGAAGAAAGAATGAAGTGTTAGAATCTGGATAGAAGCATTATTAGCAGACTGAAAACTTGACAGCAATGGTACTGTGCGGTGCGATAATAAATAAAGATTTAGCAGCTGGGACACTGATATATTTCAGATTGGATATGACTTGTCAGTGGGCTCTCTTACAAGCTGCTACACATCACCGAGGATGGAGGATTTTACCCACTCCAGAGCTGCTCGCTGAGAGGAACCATAGCTCAGGCAGCTGATACATCCTGGTCCTTTAACAAGGGTTACATGGGGATTGGAAAGTTTGTTTCTCTTGAATAATTATTTAGAAATATATATGTCTACACATTCATATGCAGAGATTTAAATGTACAGATACATATATTTCTGTATATCTCTATGTAGATATATAGACACATGTATAAAATGCCCTCCTTTTCCCCCTCCTACTGAAATTCTTCCCATCTTTCAAGGCCCAGCTCAGGTACCACCTCCTCCAGGAAGCCACCCCTGATTCCCCCTCCCCCATCCTCAGCCCACGTGGAGTAATTTCCTCTATCTTGAATTGCTCTCATCTCCTTGGGTGTCTCCTATATACTCATTTTGTGTTCCTTTACATCATTATTATTTTGTATTTCTGTTTTGTATTATAGCCATTTCTACTACCACCATCAATCTCACTCCTCCTGCCCCCCCCAAAAAGTTGTTCAATTTGGCTGGAATACAGGAATAAAAGGAGATGAAGCTGGAGAGGCCAGGTGGTGCTAGTCTGTAGAGAGCCTTGAATTCTAGGAAGAGGAGTTTAAAAAATTTAATTGGTAGACAATTGGGAGCCACCGAATAGTTTTGAGCAGGAGTGATTTTTCTGATGGTGATCTGAAATTTGAATTTCAGGAAAGTTAAGAAGAGACAGCAAGACCTGTTAGGAGGTTCCTGTAATAATCCAAGTGGATGGGAAAGAGGGCCTGAAGTAGGCAGGTACAATGGAAGAAGAGGGGGCAGATGTGTGAGACCCTACAAGGGTGGGTACATATCTTATCTTGGTATTCCCTATGGTGAACTGCATGGCTCTCTGCACATAATAGGATCTCAGCAAATGGTTGCTGAAAGCGCATGTGTGATTGATGGGTCTACATTACCAAATGTGTATATTTCAAGGGTCTGTGCTTCCACAGGCAGGGATGCTCCCTCACCTGACACACTACAATCACTCCATGCCATGGCAGGCAGTCTTCTGCTACATCCCTGAAAAAGTCTTCTCCCGCTAGCTAACTTTTTGGCATATAGATACACACAGACACATATATAACCTTGAAAATAGTTTTCAAAGATCATTCAGCCTAACAAAATATAAGTGATGCTGCCCTAATTGTACTGTAATTTCATTAATGGACACTTTCTCCTATTGTGCTTCCTTGCCTATAGTCGCATGCAGTGACAAGACCACCCACCCACACACAGCCTTTTCATAGGCTTTCATAAGAACAGTCACATTTAGTCCCGACTTTTACGTATGCTATATCATTTAATCTCCAAAATAACCCTTTGGAAGAGGGGCAGGGGGACTGGTAGCTTGGGAAATTAAGTACCTAGTTCAAGTCACAAACGGAGATCATGTAAATGTGTTTCTACCAATTCAGTTTGATTCAATTTCACAAACATTTATTAAGCAGCTACTCTGTGCTAGGCACTGATATGCAAAGACAAAACCAAACTTTCTCTGTCCTGAAGGAGGTGATGTTCTGTTGCAGGGGGCATAGAAAACATTCAAAGAGAATTACAGCACAAGGTAAGGAGTGATAAGGGGCAGCTAGGTGGTACAGTGGAGAGAGTGCTGGGCCTGGAGTCAGGAAGACTCATCTTTGTGAATTCAAATTTGATCTCAGACACTTACTCGTTGTATGATACTGGGCAAGTCAATTAAGCCTGTTTGCCTCAGTTTCCTCATCTGTAAAATGAGCTGGAGAAGGAAATGATAAACCACTCCAGCATCTTTGCCAAGAAAACCCCAAATGCGGTTGTGAAGAGGCGGATATGACTGCAACGAATAAACAAGAAGAAGAAGGAGTGATGGCGGCAGAAGAGATGTCAGACAAAGAGCCTTTGGGCTCTTTTGAGGAGGGAGAGTTCGTTTAGGAGGAGGAGGCAGAATCTGACAAGAGAAGGATCTCAAGAGGAGATGAAGAAGGAGTACCTCCACGGGGATGCACGGAGGTGGGAGATGGTGTTTTGAATTCATGGAACAGTTGGTCATCTGGTTTGGCTGGAACATATGGTGCAGTGAAGGAGAATAATGGGAATCATGCAATGGAAAAGATTCAAACTCACATTTTCTGGCTCCAGATAACATATTCGTTGCACTAATCTACCCTTTGGTAGGAGTAAGTGAAATAATGGACCAGAAAGTACTTTCACACCAAAAAAGTGCTGCAGGATTGTAAGCTGTTCTTACTGTAATAGGTGAGGTCTTCTCTTCTAAGCACTTATGGTGTCATAAGATCTTAGATTCAGAGCTGGAAGAGACCATAGAGGTCACTGAGTCCAGCCTTCCCATTTCTTTCACAGATGAAAAAAGTGAGGTCCAGGTGACTTGGCCAGGGTCACACAGCTAGTATGAATCTGAGGCAGGATTTTAACTACTACTACTCTATCCACCAGCTCATGCTTCCTTTCCTGAATCTTATCTCCTCCACTCCTCTCTCTGCCTATAAACATCCCAAGTAGACTGGGAAATATGTGGGTACCATTTAAAAATTCAATTCAGTTCAACAAATACTTATTGAGGAGCTATAGCTCTGTGCCCAGGGCTGAGGGAGAAATGGTGTTTAGATGAGATGGGCTCCCTTAAGGAGCTTACAGTCTAGTAGAGGGGAAAGACACCAAGAAATAAGTAGGATACTCGAAATGACACGGAGAGTTATTGAGCTGTAAGGGGAAGGACAAGTGAGTACTGTGGGGAAAGGTCATTACCAATCACAAGAAACAGGGAAGGCTTCTTGGAAGAGGTGGAATTTGTCTGGGGCTTTAAAGGATGGGTGGGAATTCAGCAGGAAAAGAGGTAGAGGGAAGACATTCTGGTCCTAGGGAACAGCTATAAGCAAAGACATTAATTGCAGCAGAGCTCACATGTGGGCTCTGCCGGTGGAGACTGCTGGAAGGAAATTTTGACAGGGAAAGCTTTCTGAAAGTCCTCATTTGTCTCCCTCTATACTTTTCAGGAGGACATGGAGAGATGTATATGTTTAATACATTGTCATCCTTGAAAAACATTAAAACCACTCTCCGTTTAGGGAATGGAAGGGGTCTTCTAAATTTAATCCCCTCACTTTACTAAAGAAGGAAAAGCATCCCAGAGAAGGGAAGGGTCATTCTTGAGGCTACACAGCTACTAAGTGATGGAGCTGGGAACTGAACTCGAGTTCTGACGGACTCCCAGGTCACAGTATCATAGGATTTGGAGCTGGGAAGGGGGGTTAGAGACCATCTGGGTTAACCTCTTCATTTCATGGATTTGAAAACTGAGACAGTACTTAATAAATGTTTGTTAATTGACTGAATAATTAATTAAGTGACTTTTCTCTATTGTCAAAGAGGCAATAAACAGAAGCAGTGCATTGTAACTAGAAGGAGGCCAGATTTGGACTCAAGAGGACTTAGGCTGAAATGTGGGCTCTGTCTCTTTTGTGTTTCCTGGAGTAAGTCTCTTCCCCTCTTTGGACCTGTTTCCTTGTCTGTGCATTTTACAGAGCACTTTAAGGTTTGCAAAGAACTTTACAAATATTGTCCCATCTGTTCCTCACAACAACCCTGGGAGATAGATGCTAATATCATCCCCATTTTATAGGTGAGGAAACTGAGGCAGGCAGAAAGTGACTTACCCAGGGTAACATTGCTAGTGTCTGAGGCTAGATTTGAACTCAGGTCTTCCTGATTCCAGGCCCAGACCTCTATCCACCGTACCACCTAGCTGCCCTTCTATGTCAAAATCTATATGTATGATATTATAAGTTGTATAATCGACCTTCAAATCTGGTACTACTTCTATTACATCATAAGTTCCTTCCTACCCGCCTCTACCTTGTGCCTTTTACCTCATCCCTCAAAGAGACTTTCAAAATTAAAGTTCATGGTCATGGGATTCTTTCTTAACAGAAACCATAAAAGACGGATTAAGGCAGGGAAAGAGGCTTAATTATGGAAAAGCTACATCTAGAGGGAATAGGTAATGAATTTATTTAACAGTAGAGACTCTGGGTCTCTGAGCTATCTCTGCCTGGCACCTGGGCCTGGAATAAGGACCCTTGTCAGTGACGGTGGTGGGGGAGGCCAAGGTACCTCGAGTGCCCTGGATTCTGGTGGTGTACATGTTATCTGAAACATCCAGACCATTGGTGAGGCTTTCTTTTTGGGACACCAAGGATATTATTTACCACAAGGGCCTCAAAAGCTGGTGATAACAGATGCTGTCTTCCCAGTAGAGGAGGAAATGAAGAGGGGAAGAGAATAAGCATTTATATTGTGCCAGCTGTGTACCAGGCACTGTGCTAAGTGCCTTACAAATATTATCTCATTTGATCTTCATAACAACCCTGCAAGGTAGGTGCTGTTATTATCCCCATTTTACAGTTGAGGAAACTGAGGAAAAGAAGCAAAGCGACTTTCCTAGGTTGCACGGCTAATAGTATCTAAGGCTGGATTTGAACTCAGGTCTTCTTGACTCTAGGCTCACTGTGCTATTAGCTGCCCAGTGAAAAAGAAATTTCTTAGGTCTTAGGATTTAGTATCGGAGACATTTTATCTCTTTCATTTGGGGGTAGGGAGCCAGACCTAGGATTCCGTCAATGTGAAGAACTCCCTCCAAGGAGGGAATAGCACCTAATTAGTAATGATATCTTATAGACTTGACCTGAGCACTTAGAAATGGGGTAATTCATCTGTGGTCACACAACCCACATGTGCCAGAAGCAGGACTTGAACCCAGGTCTTCTTGGCTCCAAGGCTGACCCACTACAATGCCTGCCACACACACGCTATCTTCATTTCATAGAAATATATGTAAGTATGATACATATGTGAGATATGCACATACATACATATACACATAATTTCTAGAGATGAAATGATTTATTCAGGGTCACACAGGGGCGGAGGTGCAGAGCTGGAATCCTGAGCCCAGGCTTCTGACCCCAAATCCAGTGGGAGTCACAATGCCCTTACTATGCCACAAGCTTCATGAGGGCAGGGACTACGTATTAGCTAAAGGCTGTTCACTTCCTTGGTATCCAGAATAGGCTCTAGATATGGTAGATACTCAATACGTTTGCTGAACTGAATTAAATGTTGAGGGCATGCCTGTTTTTGCGTTCACATATTTACCACATTCACGTACCTGCTTCCCTCAACCGGACTATAAGCTTCATGAAGGCAGGGATCTCATCTTAAACTGTATGTCTCCCCTAGTAACAAGTATGGTCCTATGAAATCGGTCATCACTTCATAATTGTCTACCGAATCATGCTGAATGTTGGAGAGTTTAACAAAGAGCGTCTAGGAGGTGCTCAGGTACTTAACTTTGCTTGGTGAGGGTCTAGATCAGAATCTGGTACTTAAACAGACCCCTTTGTTGTCTCCTCAGCACCTGGCACAGTGCCTGGCACATAGTAAGTACTTAAATAAATGCTCCTTGAATACAAATGGATGAAGGATGAATGAATGAATATATGAGGAGGAAGGAGACCTATGATTTGCTCTTTAGGGACTGAAGTCAACTGGCACCAACATTTTAACATCTCCATAGCTTCCATAATCCCCTTCTTTTCACCCTCTGTAAAACAGCATTTCTTACTGAATCTCTGGTGTAACATCAAAGGATTAAAAGAAAGATTTCTGCCTTGCCTTGACCTGCAAGGACCCTTCCTGTGTTCCAAAGGCTCTTTGGTAGGGTTGAGAATCTGCCTTGGGAAGGGAACTTTCAGCTGGGGTAGAACTCAGCCTCATTTGCCCCATGTTTGTAGTGGAACATTTGGACCACATAGGCCCACCCCAGACTACCTTGCTCATGCTGTGATGCCACCTTGGAGTTCCAGTGGCTAATCCCACCTGGCCCTAGCCGAACAAGTGAGAGTCATGGCAAGCGAGTGACTACCTTAACTCCAGGATGTTGGTGACATTGCCAGAAGGGAAGATCCTCCGAATGTAGTTGAAGTCACCAACATAGAGGCTCCCATCTGAGCCGCACGCGAGGGCCACCGGAGCCAGAAGCTTGTTGCCATCGGCAAGGCCATTGCAGCTGGGACAGGAAATGCTTCGCCTCCGTCCATTACCCATGATGCTCCCAATGACGGGTGGCTGCTGGGACACAAACTGGTTTTCTCCATTTCCTTTATGTAGTATACCTAGGACAAAGGCGAAGAAAGGAAAGTCAGGATGAAGAAGCATATTTCCTTTCCAAAGTCACAAACATGCCTTTATTTAGTACAGTGAAGTCTCCTATCCTGAGATTTAGGGCTGGAAGGGACCTTATAGATGATCTAATCTGACTCTCTAGTTTTACAAAGTCCCAGAGAGGAGAAACACTTGGCTCAAGGTCACACAGGTAATGAACAACAGATTTGGGATCTGAACCCAGGCTCTCTTATTACAAAAATCCAGGGAGTTTTCTACTAAACTAAGCTGTCTATTTGGTTTCTATTAAACATAAAATTTTAGAAATAGATACTGGTTAACCATGCTTACATTTGCCAATTAAAAAAAGCCTTGAAAGTTAACTTAAAAATTCATCTGAGAAGGTGATAAAATTTTACATATCTCTGAGAAATGGACAAATGGAAGCAGGGACTGAGTCAACAAATGCCATTTCCTCTCTGATTCTCTTGGTTTCCTTAATTCCTGATTCTGCTTTGTTTTCTTAATTCAATCCAGTTCAGTTCAGTTTGGAATGATGTTAACTAACTATTGGCTAAGACCCTCACCCCATCCAGCCTCCACTCAGTTATTCTTGCTTATGTCTACACTGCTGTTTTTGTTTTTTGAATTTTGTTTTTTTGAATTGTTTTTCTTTGTTATGAAATGGGGTTCCTTAGTTGCTGTTGGTGGTGGTGATAGCATATATCCAGAAACTTCTATGCACAAGCAAAAAAATTCTTCTGTGATTTATGTGAGAGAGACTTCCTGAACAAATAAATTTTGGAATTCTCATAGAGAGTGAATTCAAGACAGTGAACGTTAGACTGTGAGCCCTCTGAGGGCAGGCAGAGTTTTCTGCCTTTCTCTGTATCCCCAGAACTTAGTACAGTGCCTGATTAACAGCCATGTACAGGATCAAGCTGGATAGGCCAAAAAGTAAGATGATATGCTTAAAAAATCATAGGGGCAGGTAGGTAGCGCAGTGGATACAGTACCAGCCTGGGGTCAAAAGGACTTGAGTACAAATCCAGCCTCAGATATTTACTAGTTGTGTGACCTTGGGTAAGTCACTAAACCTTGACTGCCTCCCTCCCCTTGAAAAAAAATAACAACAAAACAAACCAAAAGCAAAATTACACTAAGACACAATGGGAAAATGTTGATTTATGCTGTAGAGTCTATTTTTTTCAAGGCTTCATATTTTAAAAGAGATATGGAGAACTATCATGTGTGCTGATTATATCAAGTACTGGAATGATCTAGGACCTCCTTGATGAGATCCAGAATCATGAAAAGTTTGAGCAATCCACCCAAGAAAAACCAAGTAGCTAATGAATGCCTTTCACCAAGATCATGATGTACAATTGGGTGGGAAGGTCATTGAGTTAATATACACATCTTGAAGGTTACTGTTGAAGACCAATTAGCTAGGCTCAGAATTAAAAAGGAAGAGAAGAGTCGACTGCCTATAATTTCCAATGCCAATATTCTCATAGTGATACTATGTGGCTGTGCATCAAGGATCAGATTTTCAGCTGAACCAAAAGGCAATGGTAAGATGCACACCAATGTAAGGAGAACATGGCTGAAAGAGACAATAGGCAAGATGAGATGTGAAATCACAATTACGGCACCCATGACATCTAGGATTGGAAAAGGAGATTGGCCAAAGATGAAGGATAACATAGAGATAACTCTAGTGTGCCAGTGGCACCCACATAATGTTAGAAGACCCAAAGGAATGATTCTAGCATCCCAGGTCTATACTCTATGGGGGATTGGAGAAAATACGAGGACAAGAATCCCAGGGAATGAAAAGGCATGGAAATAGTGACCAGTACTTTTCCAATTTTAAAAAAGAATGGAAGAAGTTCACTTAAATTTCAGCAAGAGATAATGCCAGAGAGGGTGAGATACAGAAACAGGTTTCCTAGGGAGGTTATGAAAGCACCATCTGTACAGAGCTTAAAAAAATTGGACTGACAACCATCTGTGTTGGATACGTATCCTTTCCTCAGCTTATAGACAAGGGTCTAAATTAGATGCCTGGAAGGCCACCTGTCAGTGACGCAGAAGCTAGGATTCTTGCCTGGGGTGGAAACTTGGACTAAAAGAACCATCATATTCCTTTAAACTTGAGGACTCTACAAAGTCCTATCTGGAACAATGAGATGGTTGTTAAAGTGATAACAAATCTCACCTTTTTTTTTAAACATGCATGGACAAAAAAGATACATTTCTACCTAATTGGAAATTATTTTACGAGTGAATTTATGCCTCATTCTTCTTAACTAATGTAACTGTTTTAATCTAAAAAACATCTTACATACCTAACGATCTTTGCTAGATTTTCAGTATTTTTAGAACATAGCAAAGCCCTCAACAATCTGATATCAAAGCCAAGCCAACAGTAATTTATCAAGTACCTTTTATTTGTGCACTGTTTGAGGAGCTAGATATATAATGACAAAGCAAAAAAATCACCCCTGCCTTCAATGAGCTTCCTTCCATTCTCCTCTCATGAACAGCCATTTTTGGGTGACTGACTTCCTCCTCCGATTTTATTTTATACAGGCATTGTTGTGTATGTGTTTTTTTAAATGAACATACATGGAGAAGATGTGGGAAAACTGGAACACTAATACATTGTTGGTGGAACTGTGAACTGATCCAACCATTCTGGAGAGCAATTTGGAACTATGCCCAAAGAGCTAGAAAACTGTGCATATCATTTGAATCAGCAATATCACTACTAAGTCTGTATCCCAAAGAGATCATAAAAAAGGGAAAAGGACTCACATGTACAAAAATACTTATAACAGCTCTTTTTGTGGTGGCAAAGAATTGGAAATTGAGGAGATATCCATCAATTATGGATGGCTGAACAAGTTGTGGTATATGAATGTAATAGAATACTATTGTGCTACAAGAAATTATGAGCAGGCGAATTTCAGAAAAACCTGGAAAGACTTACATGAACTGATGCTGAGTGAAATGAGCAGAACCAGAACATTGTACACAGTAACAGCAACACTGTGTGATGATCAACCATGAAAGACATGGCTCTTCTGACCAATACAATGATCTAAGACAATTCCAGAAGACTTGTGATGGAAAATGCTGTCCACATCCAGAGAAAGAACTATGGAGCCTGAATGCAGATCGAAGCACATTATTTTCACTTATTTTTTTGTTTTTTCTTTCTCGTGTGTTTTTTTTTTGTTCTGATTCTTCTTTCACAATATGATTAATGGGAAAATATGTTTAACATGATTGTACATGCATAACCTATATCAGATTGCTTGCTGTCTTGCAGAGGGGGATGGTGAGGGAAGGAGGGAGAAAAATTTGGAAATCAAAATCTTATAAAAGCGATTGTTGAAAACTATCTTTACACATAATTGGAAAAAATAAAACATTATTAAGAGGGGAAAAATAAAATCACTAACAATCTCTTAAAAAAGATAAATACAAATAAAAATGAACAGAGAATCCTCAGTGCTGAGCCCAGGGCCATGTCCATAGTAAGTTCTGAATAAAGATTTTCTGGATGAATAACTATTTCTAGGGTAATTTTTCTTGTTCTGTAACAGGCTTTTATTTCATGAATGAATGAGAAGGGCTATACGAAAATCTCCCCTTTCTCCCAAAATACTACAGTGCTGCTTGGTTGACTCTGAGCTTTTCATAGAAAATCTTCTTTTATTAGAAGTAGAAAAGGGCATCTAATATAAAATATTAGATGATAGAAAGTTGGTGAGAGAAGGCAAGGAGGTCAAAAGTATTTATTTAGTGCCTACTATGTGTCAGGGACTGTGCTAAATGCTTTTACAAATACAATCTCATTCGATCATTAGGGCTAGAAGTAAGTGTGGCAGGAGTAACTTGGGGTCTAAGAAGGCTGAGTGACTTGCCCTAGGTCACGATGCCAGTTGGTGGCCTAGCTGAGAGCAAAGGGAAATGCTTGGTATGCGTACTGGCTACATACATAGCCTATACCTCTCTCTAGTTCTTAAGCAACCACCACCACCATCAAAAAAAAGAAAAAGACTGTGGTACCAATCTTTATTACATCCAATAGATTATTTTTCTTCATTCAAATCTGCACACATGGAGCTTGCTATGGAAATGTAGGTTACAATAAATTATTTGCCAACAGCAGCCTTCTTTCTCAAGTAGAGACTGGATGATTTACAGAGCCCAGTGACCAAGTGCTAGGCCCCGCAGCCCCGGCCACGTGGCTTTCTGTCGAGTCACTCACCACTCTGGATGTTGAGGGCGTGATGTTTGTCCAAGGTCCATCCGCCCAGTTTGGAAGCATCAATCTCATAGCCCTGAAGTACTGCGGTCCTCTTCTCCCATAAGATCAAGTCTGGGCAGGATTCATATTCATACCCAACAGAAACTGGAAAGGATGGAAAAACAGAAACAGAATACAGATGAATAATGAAATAGTATCCTTCCCTTGAAAAATGCATATTTGGCATCCTGAGTGGGAGGGGAGGTGTATTATATAAAGAGCTCTGCAGTCAGGATACCTGACTTCAATCCCATCTTGACACTTATTAGCTGTATGGCATTGACCAGGGCACAAACTCTCTGGTCCTCAGTTTCCTCATTTGTAAAATGAAGGGGTTGGGCTAAATGGCCTCTAAGGTCTATTTCATTATGGGAAGGAGTCAATGCCATTTAAATATCAAGGTTATTAATGTATCATTTTAAACACAATGTTAATATAATATGAAAGAAACGGCCCTAACCCTAAACCCCCTTGGGGTTTTTTGTGGGATACTTACCTCTGCCATTGAACACACAAGTGTGGGAAAATCACTTAACCTAGCTAAGCTTCAGTTTCCTCAAGTGCAAGATGAAGACGATGATATTTGTATGGGATTGTTGTAACAGAGTTGAAATGATGATATAGTAATAATGATAATAATGATAGTGATGCTGCTGCTGCTAGCATTTATATAGTGCTTACTTCATGCCAGGCACTGTGCTAAGCTCTACAAATATTATTATTTTTTTTTTTTTGGCAAGGCAATTGGGGTTAAGTGACTTGACCAGGGTCACACAGCTAGTAAGTGTCAAGTGTCTGGTCTGAGACCAGATTTGAACTCAGGTCCTCCTGACTCCAGGGCCAGTGCTCTATCCACTGTGCCATCTAGCTGCCTCTACAAATATTATGTTATTTGATCTTCACAACAACCCCGAGAGGTAGGTGCTATTATAATCCCATTTTACAGTTGAAGAAACTGAGGCAAATAGAAGTTAAGTGACTTGCTCAGGATTATACAGCTACTAAGCGTCTGAGGTTGGATTTGAATTCAGGTCTTTCTGACTTCAAGTCCAGTGCTCTATCCACAGTGCTTCCTAGCTACCTAGGTGGGGTGGTAGATAATATAAATCATCAACTAGTATTATTCTCTGCTACATCTTTTGGAACAACCTGAAAAGGAGGTAGGCCAGCGCTAGCCTGATGTATATGACATATTACAAGAAACAGAGGAAACCCAAGCAGTTGGATAGTTGGGCAGTAGACAGAGTTCTGGAAACATAGTCAGAAAGGCCCAGTTTGAATCTCGCTTCAGACAATTATCAGCAACGTGACTCTAGGCAATTCCCTTAACTTTACCGGGCCTCATTTTCCTCATCTGTAAAACGGGGGTTGGGGGGGAGAAGAAGGGAGTTGAACATGAAGACTTCTAAAGTCCCTTGCAACTCTAAACTTATGATTCTATAAACAGAAAGATATGGATAAAAATCTTACAGGACAAGAAAGCAGAGATGAGTTATGATTTAGAACAATGGAAGGAGTCTCTACATTGATCAGCTCACAGGTCTGCTAAAATGTAACAATAATAATAATAATATTGATAACAGTAGCTAACATTTGTCTAGCTATTTAAGGTTTGTAAAGCACTTTACAAATGTTAGCTTATCGGATCCTTACAAACGTGTGAGGCAGGTGCTCTCATTATCCCCATTTTACAGATGAGGAAACTGAGACGCGGAGTATTTAAGTCAGTTGCCAAGAGTCACAGAACTAAGGAATATCTGGAGACAGATTTCAAACTTATGGCTTGTTGACTCCAAGTCCCCTGCACCATCTAGCTGCCTGGTGAGATTTCTGCTGTATCTTGTTGGGAATCAGGCCTTCACAGCACTGTCACCTCCTGCACTCTCTTCACCATGTTTCTTCATGGGTACTTGCCTTCTTCCCATTTTCCAATGCCCCTTTATGTGTTGTCTTCCTCCATTAGAATGTAAGCTCTTCGAGGACAGGCACTGTCTTATTTGCTTTTATTTGTATCCTTAGCATTTAGTACAGTGCCAGACATAAGCATTTAATAAATGCTGTATATATGTATGCATGTACATATGCATGCATGCATGTGTCCATCCATCCACCCATCCATCCATCCATCCATCCATCCATCCATCCATCTATCTATCTATCTCTCCAGTTCCTTCAGCAAATCCTCATATAGCATGATCTCAAGGCCCTTCACCATCCTGGTTGTTCTCCTCTGGATGCTTTCTCTAGTTGACTAATGTCCTTCTTAAACTGTGGCACCCAGAACCATGCAAAATAACCTGTCCCTCCCGCTCTCTCTTCTTTCTCTCTCCCTCACTTCCTCTTCTCCCTCTCTTCTCTTCCTCTCCATTCAATTTTCTCAAATTAAACTAAGTCCTCCTCCTCCTTCAGGGCTTCATCGTGCTTAAGAGTTGAATGAAAACTCCCAAATTCTACGTGACTGGACATAGAGTGGAACTCTGCCAGGTCCAGTCCAGTTGGAAAGATTTCAAGCATGGGTCTGATGACAGACCACGCATGTGGCCCCCAAAGGCCGAGCCTCAGGACATTCAAAGAGTTTCATCACCAGAAGCCTGGCCATCAGGTTATGAATTTTTCAGCAACAGAAATTTGAAAAAGTTCACATTAAGGCAAGAAAGGGTTGTAAACAGTACTGTCCGTAGGACAATCCAAACTGATGAAATCAGAGATCTCTGAAGAATGTTATTCAGCTTTATGTTAGATTAGTCATAGGGTTTATCTAGAAGACATGAAGTCTCCTAGCTTCAAGATTCAACAATATTAATTACAGTAATATTAATAATAATGATAATTATAAAAATAACAGCAGTTGGTGTATTGAAACCGAGCTTTTATGTTTAGTAGTGATTCTCACATATTGTCTAACATTTAATCCATGCTTAATGGAAGTGTTCCTTCCATTTTTACTGTGTATAAATTGTACGTATGAAGTTATTTGCATGTCGTCTCTCCCATTAGAATATATATTTCTTAAGGGCAGGGAAAATACTTTCTTTTTATCCTTTGCACTTAATATAGTGCCTGGAATACAGTAAGTGCTTAATAAATGCTTGTTGGCTACTCATTGATCTACAATGGATCTAAAAGTTTTGTAGTATTAGTTTTTATAGTATTTTGTAATATTAGTATGTAGTATTGTAGTATAAGTATTAGCACTTTCCAAATGAGGCAGCTGCTACTCAAGGAGGTCATATTGATAGGTCTAGGAAGGGAAACCAGAGCTTCTGGTCACAATCCTCTTTCCATCCCTCTCCAGGCTACATTCCTAACTCACCTCCTCAGAACTTTCTTTCCCACATCATAGAAACCTCTTCACAGTGGAACTTTATTCCACCTGGGGCTACTTCTCACCACTCGTGCATCCTTTCCCTCTGATTGGCTGGTCCCTCCCAGAACCTCCATTTTAAGGAGGATGGGCAGGCCAACTATGCCTTTATTCCTCTCTAGGCTATCCTCTTGAACCTCCTGGACTTTCTCTACCAGTCCCCAGGACATGTACCTTCTTCTTCCTCCTACTTTCAGCTCCCTTTTATGTTTTATTTCTCCCATTAGAATGTAAGATCCTGGAGGTCAAGGACTGTCTTTCTGCTTGTATTTATACTCCCAGTTCTAGGCACATAGTAAGTGCTTAATAAATGCTTGACTTACTTTTTCCATTGCACTCTACTGCCTAAAGTAAAATTGCCTGATGTCAGACTGTGAGCTCCTTGAAAGCAGGGATTATCTTTTGCTTTTGTTTGTATCTCTAGTACTTAGAAGAGTGCCAATCACATAGTGGGTGCTTAATGAATGTTTATTGATTGACTCTCGGTTTCCAAGTAGTAAAACTGTGCTTTTTTAACTTAAAAATGTGAAAAATAATGTAAGTTCATAATGGATGAATAAAAGACTCATGAAATCATAGGAGCATAGGGTGTTGGAGTTGGAACAGACCTTAGAGATCCTTCTAGTCCAAACAACTGCTTTTACACATATTACACATTATCTGTGAGTTTATCATTTACCCCTCTGTGACTGATGAAGAAACTGAAGATCAAACAGAAGTGACCTGCCTAAGTGAGGTGAGTATTGGAGCGGTAGGAAGAGGAAGGAGAAGCAAAGAAGAGGGAAGGGCAGGAGACAGTCTATTATACTCCCTCTCCGACAGGCATGAGTCTAAGAATACCAGGTAGCTTACCAAAGGCTTCTGAGAGGCCAAACACCTTCTGGTTGTAGACATCGGTCTTGTCCCAGATGAAGTAGTAGGAGAGGTCCGGGGCAGCAGCGAACCACTTCCTGAAGAGGCGCCCTTCCACTGCTACCATGAGATGCACCTTCATGAGATTGAAGGGGATGGTGGGGTGGGTGAGGCTGATCTTCAGGACGGACTTGTAGCCAGGCGTCCGGCTGCTCAGGTAGCTCAACTTCATGCTACAGCCCGAGATGCTGATCTCTTCCTGCAGAGCCTGGAGAGCAAAGGGGAAGAGGTATTAAAAGAGGAGAAGTGGGAGAAGTGTAAGAGAGGAGGTCCTGGAAGCTCAGCATGAGTAGGGACCTGGTCTATCAAATGAAGTGGTTAGACCATCTCCCCGCTCTAAATCCTGTGCTTCTGGTGACAGATCCAGGAGAAGAACTCAGGTCTTCTGACTCCGAGTTCCCTGAACCAACCAACCACTAAGGCTTACTGCCTTATGGTCTTAAGGTGGTAAGGTTACAATACTTTCTGGCTTCTCTAGTAAACAAAAAATCCTTGGAAAAGAATGTAAAACCCAACTGCCCAGAAGTATCTGACCAGAAACAAATATTATTGTAGAATCAACCATCTTCCAGCCAGAAGAAGCCTCAGGCAAAATACCATTGTCTCTGCTTTACAGATGAAGTAACTGAAGCCCGATGTAATACAATTTCAATAGAATGGAAGCTCTTTGAGGGCAGGCAGAGACTTGGTATCCTCAGAACTTAACACGGTGCACAGCTAAAAAGCTGTAGAATTTCTGTCATATCACTCATGTAAAACAGGACCAGGATTCAGTATAACAAACCATTTAGAGTCAGTGGTCAACCTGCTACCCTTGGGCTCCATCAGTTTGCAGACAACGTCTCTTTGGCAAACCACACTGTCCAAAGCATTAATTTTACGTGGACAGTGCTGATTATTTGGTTTAGGTGTCATCTCACTTTCTCCAATTACTCTGACTTTGCTTCTAGCTGGGAAGCCCGAAGAAACAAGGAAGAGACCTCAATGGCATCTAGTCACCGTCACCAGTCACACATCTACTCATTGATTTCAAGACCCTAGAGGTCATCAGGTCCAACTCCCTCACTTTACAGATGAGGAGACTGAGGCTCAGAGAAATTTAGTGACTTGCCCAGAGAAACGCAACTAGAGGCAGCTTGGTGGTACAGTGGATAGAGAGCTATACTTGGAGTCAGGAAGACCTGAGTTCAGATCCTGCCTTAGGAATTTATATATTAGCTGTATGATCCTGGAAGAGGCATTCAAGCTCTCCCAGCTTCAGTTTTCTCATCTGTAAAATGGAGGTAATAATAGCACCTAACTCCCAGGTTTATTTTGAGGATCAAATGATCTAATAGACATAAAGCACTTGGTAAACCTTAAAGCACTATATACATGCTAGCTGTTAAAACTGTTGTGGTTACCATTATCATCAACAATTCAATTCAATAAACATTTATTAAGCGCCTACTGTGTGCCAAGCACTTTCCTAAGTGCTGGGGATACAAAAAGAGGTAAAAGTCAGTCCCTGCCCTCAAGAAGCTTGCTATTTAGTGGTAGTGGTAATAGTAGTAGTAGTAGTAGCAGCAGCAGCAGCAGCACCAGCAGCAATAGTTATAGTAGTAATAGTAATAATAGAAGTAGTAGTAATAGTTATTATTATTGTTAGTAGTAGTAGTAGTAGTATGAAGTAAGCAGCAAAGCAAAAATTTCAACCACAGGTGTTTTGACTCCCAAGCTCAATGTTTCAGCCTAATGCCTTGGAATAAATGTGCATAGATTGTGTTGGCATCTAACTTTTAAAAATACCATTATGGCCCCACACTGAAAATCTAATTTAGGAAGATCTTAGAAGCTAATCATTTCCCCCCATCCTGTTGTCCTGATGAACATCTCTTGGTTGCCCACTGCATTCAGGCAATAAGCAGCTTTCTCCAGGCTGATGTAGTTACCTATTAAAGCACAGTTGCCCCTCCCCAGCCCCTCCTTGAGTCGGGCACTTAATTCAGTTGTGTGTGTTTCACAGGAATTTACAAAGGATCAGATCTAGAGCTGAGAGTGACTTTGGAAGTCATTTATTCCAATCCTCTCATTTTACAGATGAGGAAACTGAGATTTGGGGAAGTTATGTCATTGGTCTACTAAAAGAATAATGGATTTGGATATCAGGACACTTGGGTTCAAGTTCTGGTTCTGACGCTTATTTGTTGGGTGATCCTGAGCCTATCAATTTAACTTCTAAATTTAGGTTTCTTTATTTGTAAAATGAAGAGATGGAATGAGTTGTTCTCTAAAGTCTGACTCTGTGTAAAATCAGTTAACAGGGTATGAGACGTTAGCCGAGTATGTCTAGATTTCTGATCCTATGAGGACTCCCCGAGCGCTGCCCACAGAACCAAGGAGAGAGGACAAGGTCTTCCATGTAGACAATCTACCAGCTGATCCAGCCAAGGATGTCAAGATGAAAGCATAGGTTACAATGAGTCCTGAGCTCTGAAATTACTGAATAGGAATACCGTGACCAAATTCTGCAGCATTCTAGTTGTGTGGTACAATGTTACAATGTTCGAACTAGACACTAGTAAAAATAAATATGATGGGTGTTGAGACTTTTAAAAAAAAAAGACTTCCATCAGTTCTTCCAAGATGGAAATTTTAAGTTAACGTGAGGCTGCCAGCACACATTTAAGTAACTGAACTTTTGGCAGCTTGCTGCTCTGAGCTCAGTTCTAAGGAGGGAATGCAAAATCACTGTGGGGCCAATGCAGACACTGAAAGGATGGTGGCGATCCTTCCCTTGCATTTACAGAAGAGCTGCATCTGCACTGAATCCCGTTTATGAAACAACTACCATGAGCTGGGTATGAAAGACAATGACTCCCAAACCAGTCCCTGCTCTCAGGAAGTTTTCATTTGGGTTTAAACTCAGTGATTTCAAGTACTACAAAGATCACTGTGCATTCATAGAGCCAAGAAGGTAGAAATAAAATGTCTCTCATTCTCAACCTAGGCATTCCACAGTCCTGGCCTGATCATTAATGTTTGGGGATCTCCACAATCTGGAGCCACAAGAATTCTCCAGCTTTTTACTCTGGGTTGATAGGTCACTTCATCTCTCCAGGACTTGGTTTCTCCCTTTGTAAAATGAAGTGTTTGGCCTAGATCAGATTGGGACTCTAGACTCTTGATTTAGTGTCCATGGACCCTCAAGGAGTCTGGGGATAAATTTCCAGGGAGGAGACGGGTATGTGAACTTGGATGGAAAAAAATTCAAGTCTTTATTTGTACTAACCTCTACCTGAAATTGAGTGTGCCCTTCAATGACTTAAAAACATGATTGGGAGAAAGGGTCCACAGGTTTTACCAGACTGCTAGAGGGGCCCACGACACACAAAAAGACGAAAAACCCCTCTAAATGATCCCGCAGGTCCTACAGGTCCAGATAGATGATTTTACGTCCTCCACTTCCAGCCTCCACGTTTTCACTACGCTTAGCTCACCTCCAACTCTACCTATGGACATCCAGCTCATGTCTTTAGAGTCTGGCTCAAACCCTGTCTTCTCTGTGGCATCTTATCTATGTGATGTTTTCCCCTATCTAATCTCAAAGTATGTTCTAATTCTTTTATGCACATATTCATTCATTTACTCACTCATTCATTCATTTATCTTCCTTGAGCAAGTGAGCCACTTACCCCACCTGAGCCTCAGTTTCTTTGTAAAATAGGGATAACATTCATTACTCTCCTGAACGTGGAAGAACTATACTGCTGTTCAGTCATTTCAGTCTTGTCTGACTCTTTGTGGCCCTGTTTGGGGGTTTCCTGGCAAAGACACTTTGGTTTGCCATTTCCTTCTCCAGCTCATTTTACAAATGAGGAGATTGAGATAAATAGTGTTAAGTGACTTGCCCATTGTCACACAGCTGATAAGTGTCTGAAGCTGGATTTGAACTCAGGTCTTCCTGACTTCAGGCCCAACACTCCATCCACTGTGCCACCTAGCTGCTCAAAGCACTATATAAATGTGAGCAATTACTATTATTATTATTGTTATTACTATGTGGAGCGACTGCCTCAGCCCTAGCAATCTTCAACCGGAGGCTGGCTGATCATTTTTGGGGGATGTTAGGGAGAGTATTCCTCCTTAGGAAATTCTGAGGTTCCTTCCACTTTGGAGAGTCTGATTCTATGGTTCATGAACAAAGAAAAGAGAGAGGAAAGGCAAATATGTGCTTTCCTAGGTAAGGGGCAGGAATTATTAATATTTTCATTAATTATTATTATTCTAAAAACATTTACTAAGCACATACTGTGTACAAAGCCTCGTGCTGGGGGAGATATAAGAATGAAATAAGACATGATCCTTGCCTTGAAAGAGATCACAGTCTGGTAGAGGGTTAGTGCACAAGACTGAAGGGAAATACAATCATCTTATTCTAATCTGTGTGACATACACTTATTAAATTCTGAGGCTAGGGACTGTGTGTGAATCATAACTCACTTTCCTATTGTGCTACATGTTTTATAAGATGCTTCCCACAGAACAATCCTGTGAGGTAAGTAGTGAAGAGACACTATCCTCTTTCATGGATGAGGAAACTGAGGGTCAGAGAAATGAATAATGATAATGAAGATGATAATAGCTACTATTTATATAACACTTACTCTGTGCCAGGCACTGTGTTAAGTACGCGCTCTAAAATATTATCTCATTTGATTCTGATAGGTAAGTGCCATTATTACCCTCATTTTACAGCTAAGGAAATTGAAGCAAACCGAGATGTAGTGACTTGTTCAGGGTTACACAGCTACTAAGTATCTGGGGCCAGATTTCAATTCGGGCCCCTTTCTTCTTTTTTTCTTTTGGCATTCAGGGTTAAGTGACTTGCCCAGGGTCACACAACTAGTAAGTGTCTGAGGTTGGATTTGAACTTAGGTCCTCCTGACTCTAGGCCTGGTGCTCTATGTACTGCACCACCTAGCTGCCCCTGAACTCAGGTCTTCTTGACTCCAGATCTGATACTCTGTCCATTACACCACCTAACTGCCCTAACTTGTCCATAGTTACTTCACTGCTGGCAGGAAGTGGAACCAAAATTAAAACCCAGGCATTTCCTACTGTAAGTCTGCTGTTTTTCCACCCCACCATGATGTCTCTGGGCGGCTAAGTGGTGCAATGAACACAGTGCTGGGCCTGGAGGCAGGAAGACCTGAATTCAAATCCGGC